TCCGTAAATAGTACAAATGCTTCATGAGAAACTTCACGTCAGTGTAAGGATCTACAATCCATCCTCGTATTTAGTGGAAAATAAGTTATAAGAGGATGCGCCAAAACCTACAACGTATTGCATACAATACGCGGCTATGCTAGCACTTTCAATATATGACTCGGACAGTGTTGCACTGTTGATTAACCTGGAACATTTGTATGCATCTTACCTAGGCTGGAAGAACTACCCACCCGAGAACCACATCATTGATTGATGTAAAGTAAATTACTTGTCCTAATGACCCACATAGCTGGCGTTGCTTTATATGCATCAGATTTATGAAAATGTGAAATGCACTATTTTTTTCCTGGGGAGGGGAATTCTTCATTGTCGCCTTAGCTCGACCCTCTCATTCACCAATCGATTGTCCAAGCCTGTTAAGCAGTTTGTGGCGGGATTGGACACTGTGGTTGACGTGGTGTGAAGGCCTGCGTCTGAAGCATAGACTTGCGCGGACTTAGCGCAACGTGATAAAGCGCGTCCCAGGAGCCAATTTGCCCCCGTCCCCACCCGTCCCGTTCGTTCCAGCGCCACACATGTACGGCACCAGTTGAGGTCCTTTACAGAATCCGCGCAGCCTAAAAACGCGTGTTCAATCACAAATAAACACAAGCACCTCCACTCCAATCTTACCCCTCCATCGACACTGAAGTTCAGAACCGTGCAGTGAGAATTCAACCATCCACAGCAAACCTGAGGTCCGAATGACGGAAACTAAGAACTGGTCGATGGTGTTGGCTGGTTGTCTGATGTGTTTGAAGTTGTTGGCTATGCACAGTTCACGGATATTATAAGTGACTGACTTGACCTAGGAAGGTACTTTTCAACCAAACTGGTCAGTTAGAGGTCCGAACATCACTTGGTGAATACGTGATCGAACCTGGACTTTTAGAGATGATGAAGATGCGGTCAACGGCGTCGGCAGACAGGTTAGTGCTACATTCACTTCACGATAACAAAACTTGCACTTAGGCAACTTTTCTGCCACTGCACCAGCATAGTTTGCGTCGCACTTTTTGCACCGGATGTCCACGGCAGTTAACTGTGTTGACTGTTTTAAAAGTAAACGGACTCTCGTAAAGGAAAGTTATTAGACCCAGTACCTGCATGTTTACACACACTTACAATAGCCCCGAAGGAGGCCTGATACTCCGCGACATTCTATCCGAAGCACGTGCAAAATGTAAACAATAACAGATAGTCAGTCAACAAGGGGGTCATTACACACCTAAGGAGGGGGAGGGAAGGGATTTCTTATCAGACAGGTGTAGTAGGAGGTAGCTAGTTTATTTGAATTATAGTAAATGGTCTAACTCATGAAATGTCCAGATTAAAATTATATTAAGTTGTCTGACCCAAATTTGTTGTTACCATTTTAGTGTTTACTGAATAAAAAGGTAATTTCAAATCCGTTTTATGAAAGGAAAACAGGCCAGATTTAGGAGAAATCTGACGTTTCTTGAAAGCTCAGTAATTTCTTACATTACTGTGAACCCCAGATAAAACCTCTTATGTGTGTATGTTTTACTACAAAGCAACAATGATTTAAGCAGGAAGAGTTCTAAATAAATCCCTTCTGCAAAAAATGTTGGTTTTTTCGTCTATC